TCTCTCTGTCTCTCTCTGTCTATCTATCTGTCTTTCTCTGTCTCTCTCTCTTTATCTCACTCTCTCTATATATATATACATGTATATATGTTTTCTTGCTGTTTTTGTTTTTGTTTTTCCGACGTATAATATTCAGAAATCTGCACTCCAAGAAAAAATTAAGAAATAAATAAGTGGATGAAAAAGCTGTTAACTGATTAACTGAATAAATAAATACTTAGACAAAAGAATACGTTTTTGAACGAATGACTACCGCCTTCAATGGCGTTATTTCTGTGCTATTCAGCCCATACTCAAAAGACTTGGGTTCAATACCTTCGTAAGGAAAATCCCAGAGAAAACAGATTCTGCTTTGTGCGGCATATGTTCAACATCCCAATAGAAACTATAGTGGAAATCATACAGACACCCACCCATTGTCGAAGAGAAAAGTCGTGGACAGGTGGTCGTCTTACTCAGTTTCATTATGATTTTATTAACAACAACAACAACAACAACAGCAACAACAACAACAACAACAACAGCAACAACAACAACAGCAACAACAAAACCGTGAGAGGGGGGGGGGAATGGGAAGTGGTCGTTTGTACAGGTAATTAAATGTCTTATACCGGTGGCTGTTAGCGCAGGTCTGACTGTATAATGTTAACCATCCATTGAAAACACTCGTTCTGGTCATTCAGCAACTCTTAATTATTAAAGACACGCTGTTTTGACGCACTTCAAAGAAAAAGTCATTATTCGTTTGTTTGTTTTTTCCCTTCTGTTTTCTTTTTATCTGAAACATGAAAATATTATACGCCACAACTTGTGTACTATGAAATATGCCAGTTCGTGTTTCTGGTGTGTGTATGACACCAGCAAATTAATGTGCCGTAACATTGATGCCTCTGGTCAGTTGCTGATCGGACATTATGCATCTGCAATGGTGTGTGCTATGGATCTCGGCTATCTGCCATTAAAATAATGTCACATGAGAAGAACTGCAGAAAACTGGAGATAATATTATTGTCATTTTAAAAAGGGTGTTGCCTTAAGAGGGAAGCAAAGAAGTCTTCAGTTTTCTCCACTACCTAAGGTAGTAGCTGTATATGAGGCAAGATCTTGGAAATTGACGGCGATCTCAAATCATGACCGACCCACTCAGAATGGAGAGCTCGAAGTTCAAGAACGCCCCGCAGTGGACTTGAACACGGATCATCCGCTCCGAAGCCCATCTTAATATAATACCAACTTGGCTATATATCCATATCGACCCACCTTTTTTCTTTTCTCGTTTTATAAAAAAAATGTATTTTCTATAGAGGACTTATTCCCTTGGAGCTCCCTTCCACCCCCCCCCTTTTTTTTTAAACTCCCTCAACCCCGTTTCTACCCACCCCACATCTACGTGCCCCCCGAAAGTTCCAAAGAGAAGCATGGCGCCCACATGCGCGCCATCTCACTTAACGAGTTCTAGCGAGGCTCGGATTCCCGTGGCAACACATTAAACTTACAGTTACAGGCACCCGCTAAAATGGCACAGCATGGTTTTGACAATGTAAGGTCGGATGAAGTGCACAGAACAGTGAAAGCAAGTCAGGGCCAACGTGTTTTTCTGCCCTACCGGGCTACACAAAAATGAATTATAATAGTTTTACTTTAAGTGTAAGTTTTATAAAAACATGTTTGACTTTGGTATGGTTTTTAACTTAACTCGTATCCTGGCCATCCGACAACGCTAGAGGACGTGCTGTTTTGAAGAGTAACTTCTTTATTAATGCACATTTTTGTTTCTCAAATGATGGTGGGGTTAAAAACACTCACATTTTAAAAAAAGAAACGGTTGAGGGTTTTATCAATAGTGATAGTCATACATCCTTTAAAAAATGTATAGAAGACAAGACGACAAAAATTAGAAGATCGGAGACATTGATGATCGTAATGAGTGAAAAACAGTCGAAATTGTGTAAGACTGCCACCCACTGTCGAAGACAAAAATTGTTCTCTTAGACAGGGGGACGTCTCACACTGCAATATGTATACGAAAATGTAAACATTTTCTTCATTGTGCATTCATGACAATAACCCGTCACCAGAAAGCACTCTTATAAAAGGCTTCTACGAGTACATAATATTATGGTCACTGGTCACTGTGTTGGTTTAGCGCACCTCTAAATATGTAAGGCAATTTAAGTATATAT